GCCCAAATGGGGCTCTAGTGACATGAAATCAGAATGTAGAGTTAAAGAGTTGGAAGATTGGCCCATGGACCAGAAATAACAAGCTTAGTGTAACCAACTTTTTTTTTCCTTCTTTTTCTCTTTTGTGCTCCAAAATTAGCTGGTTATGAGGCAATATGATATAGTAGAAAGAATATTGACTGGATTAGGATTCAGAAGACTGCATTCCAATCCTGGCACTTCCACTGACTGGCTCTGTGACCCTGAACAAAATCCCCTCTCTTCCCTGAGCCTCAGTTTTCTTCATCTCTAAGATAAGGAGTTAGAGAGGGGAGGATCTCCAGAGATCCATTCCCACCAGAATTGATGCTCCAGTTCTGTGACTATTGATTTTGGCCTCCTCTACTCCCTTGCTCAGACACTTCCTTGTTCATTCAGTCATTTCAGTTGTGTCTGACTCTCCACGATCCCATTTGGAGTTTTCTTGGCAAAGATACTGGAGTGGTTTGTCATTTCCTTTTCTAGCTCATTTTACAGATGAGGAAACTGAGGCAAACAGGGTGAAGTGATTTGCCCAAGGTCACATTGTTAGTAAGTGGCCAGATTTGAACTCAGGAAGATGAGTCTTCCTTACTCCAGGCCTGGTATCTTTCCACTGTCCACTCTGTTCACCATATATTTAGAGTAGGAAGAGATGTTAGAGGCCATCTAGTTTGATACCCCTCTGGGCATCAGGTTAAATAACTTGTTTAGAGTCACACAGCTATTAGATTTGATTATAAACTCTTTGAGGGCAGGGACTATCTTTTGCCTCTTTTTGTATCCCCAGCACTTAGGACAGTTCCTTCATACAGTAGACACTTAATAAAGGCCTCTTGGCTGACTATTGAAGATCTGAGATGGGATTTGAATCCAAGTCCTTCGAGTACAAAGCTATTGCTCTTTCCACTATGCTATGCTACTTTTCTACAAACTAAAATTTAGTTCCTTCTGCCTCCTTCCCAAATATTTCTGGCTATTTATTTTATAGATGCATTTATTTGTACATATTGTTTCCCCAGAGAGAATGTGAGCTCTCTGAGGGCAGGGACTGTTGCATTTTCGTCTATGAATTCCCAAGGCCTAGCCCAGAGCCTGGCACATTGTAGGTGCATAATACGTTAAAACCTGATTGGTTGATTGATATATAATGCTAGCCAAATCACTTAACCTCAATGAGTCTGTTTCCTCAATTTGTAAAATGGGAATAATAATACTGCCTATCTCACAGTGTAGTAAGAAAAACCACTTTGCAACCTCTAGCCTGCTATCTACAAGTGAGCGTTATCCCAGTGTTGTTGGCATATCACAGCCTGCATGCCTTTAGTCTGTGTAAAAAGAAGACTCCACAGTTGAGTCTAGGGCTGCAAAAGAGAGGGGTGTGTGAAGGTATATGTGGGGCGTGGGTGTTTGTGTGTATGCCTGTGTCTGTGACAGAGCTTCAGTTTGGGTGCCTGTGTGCCTGCGTAGGAGTTCTCAGTGGATGAGTGTGTGTATCTGTGAGAGAAAAAAAAGAGAGAGAGACAGTGACAGAGACAGACAGAGGGAGGGAGGGAGGGAGGGAGGAAAAGAGAGCACAGGGAGGGAGAGGGAGCTATCAAGAGTGTGCTTTGTTTTACTTAGCTGAGAGAGATGATTATAACCATCCACTCATTCTCACCAGAGCTGCTTAAAGCAACATCCTTTCTCAGTACTCTGAATATGTAGAAGCCTGCTTTTCAGAGGTTTTTGGTGTCAAGTTTAGGGCTGGTGTGGGGAGTAAGGTGCAGATACCCACTTTTTAAAAAGGCATATGGCCTCTGGGTCATTAATTTTCCCAAATGATTAAGGAGTTCTAGAAGCAGCCAGCAGGAGGTTTTCCCTTGTTTAAAGGCATAGCAGTAGTAGACTGGTTCAGGATTCCTGTTGGGCTTATGATATTGAAGAAGAAACAGTACCCATTTCTAAAGGATACCATACCCCACAACTCCTGCAGGTCCAGTATAGTGCAGACTGAACTGGGACATCCCAGACCCTTGTTATCCCTTACTGCAGTGTCTGTCCTACTCTTGTAGGACACTTTGGTCCCTTAAAGGACAAATGCCCTTTCTATCTGCTTCTCCCTTCCCTTCAGGCAGCCAGTGAGGCTCCTTGAGCTAGGTCCTGTTCAAAGAAAGAGCTTTATAGCTAAGCTAAGCAAGAGTTCTTAGATTGCAGAAAACTGCCCTGTCTTGTCCTTGCCCAAAAAAAATTTGGAACCTAAATAAATATCCCCTAGGCCCACCTGACTGCTGGAGATATTGGAGATGAAGTAGAGAGAGTAAGAGAGGAAACATTCTTTTCTGCCAAGATTTAATGAATAAAACCCAAGTGTTCTGGGTCTCCCTTCCCTCTATACAGCCTTGATGAGAGTGTTCTGCTGGTGGCCCATAAAAGGGGGTCTGTAGGGTCAGAGAGCCTCTGAGATTTCATCTAATTGAAGCAATGAATTCTCCCGGCAATGACTGTGTTCTCCACGTATCTGGCCCTCTCCTTCTCTATGATAAGCCCATGGGTTTCTGGAGAGGGAAAAAATCTTTTCCCTCCTCTTGCTTGGGTCCTCTTTCTCCAAAACCTATACAATTCCAAGCCTGAATTTTTCCTTTCTTCTCTCTCTGAAAGGACATGTTCGTTTGGCTTTGGATTCTGAGTCTGATGGGTGGGATAGGGGAGCAGAGATAGAGGAAGAAGGAGACGGACGGAAGAGGCAGAGGGGAAGGAAAAGGGAGGGGAAGTCAGGGGCTGGACCAAGGGACTGTGCCCAGAGGAGCCGCAGACTAGGAGGGAGTTTATAGGCTGCGGATGGGGCTGATTTTATAGGATTGGCTTTATGGTCCAGGAGTGCCTTGGCTTGTTCCTTCTAACTGGAAGTGTCAGTCACCTTCCCCTGATTTTAGACTCCCGAATAATTATCTTCTAAGGGTAGGGAGAGTGAGAACCCTTATCCACCCTTTCCACCCAGCCCCGCAGTCCCCACCTGATCAGGGATCGCTGCTCCCAACTCCCGCGCAGAGCGCAGCTCCGGGACCCGCCGATTCCGTCCTCAGCAGTGCACAGCTCAAAGGAAGGCCGGTTTGGGTGGGGAAGTTTGCGCGGCCTAGGTTTCCCTTGCAGAACCTGGGGGTTGGGGGACCCAGGAGAGCCCAGGAGGACAAAAAATGAAAACGGAGAAAGAGAAGAAAGGGGAGACGGCCCCAGTCTTTCCCCTGAGCTACGGACCTCGGCCGGTGTATAGAAAAACTGCAGTACCGAGCTTGGGCAGGGTGGGGTGCTCTTGAGCCTGGATTGGATTTAAAAAAAAGTAACGGATAGGGGGAAGGGGAAGAGAGGAGTGGGAGATGCCTTTGCCCCGGGTTTGAGGCCTGGATCACTAGGTCAGGCGAGGCAACTGAGGGTTTCAGAATAAAGTCTCTTTGGCGGGTGGTTTGTGCTCAGTGGGCCCTAGGGGCAGCGATTCAAGCCTGGGGGTAAGGCGATCGAGGGCGGCTCATGAGGGATCCTCTGAGAGGTTATTTCTTGGAATCTGCCCAGATGCCACACAAAATCCTTCCTACAGCTACCCCTGAGTCAAAGAAGCCTAGGAATGTTCTGCTAGCTCCCCTCCTTGCTTTTTGTCTGGACCTGGGCTGCGAAGTACTGGATAGAGAGAGGGGACCGTATTTAGACGTAAGCTGATAACTGTGAAGAGAATAAAAAAAAAATTTTCCCTGAAGGGGGTACCCGAGATAATTGCATCCTAGACATCTAGGAGAAATCTCGCTAAGCCTTCGAACCAAATCTTCTCGGAGGGGTGAACCCCGTCCATAGACACACGTACCTGCGATATGCACATTACGGACATATACGTTATAAAGAATTACTTCGAGCCAACTTTTATGGTGTCTACTGTGAGTAAGGGATGTGTGTGTGTGTGTGTGTGTGTGTGTGTGTGTGTGTGTGTCCTCGAGTGCGCGTGCACTAGGTCGGGGTTTTCTGTCACACAAGCCCTATACTTGCAAATGGTTCCTCCTCTCGTAATCCCCAAAGTTCCCTTGTGCAACCAAAGTTACCTGAATCTGCAGCGCGCCCCCAACTGAAAAGGAGCCCTGTGTCCCCCTCTTTCCCCCCTCCCCCCAGCAGCGTCCTGGAGGGTTTGGGTGAAGAGGGGTCAAGGGAATGAGGAGAGGTGTCTGAGAGAGAGAGAGAGAGAGAGAGAGAGAGAGAGAGAGAGAGAGAGAGAGAGAGAGAAAGACTCCGGGGAAGGGGAGGGGGAGGAGCTCTCTACTTCCCTGACAACCCTCCACTACCCCCCCCAACTTCACCATCCTCCCTTTTCCAACTTCATCTCCCAAACCCACCCTTAAAAAAAAAAAAAACCAATACCGTAAACCTAAGCCCAGTGGGACGGACCCAGGTCCACCCGACGTTTGAGAAGCTACACCCCGTCTCCTTCCAGGTCCTCCTCCCTCTCCTTCCTCCTCCCCCCCTCCCAGCACGGACTCCTACATTAAACCTTTGATCACGCACAGAAAGAATGTGCTACTATCCCCGCGCTGCCGCCGCCACCGCCGCCGCCGCTGCCGCCGCGCCGGAGCCCGAGCCCGAACCCGAGCCCGCGGGCCCCTCCGGAACGTCGGCGCCGCCTCTCGGAACGCTCGGGCCCGGGGCGGCTCCGCGGCAGCCGGACCGGGCTCTCGGCACACCGGGAGCCGCCTCGTTTGCTTCGGTGGCCGCCACCTCCCCGCGGCTTCCCGGGTCTCTCCTTGGCTCTTGACGCAGTCTGGAGCTGCAGCCGGGTTTCCTCTCCTTTCCTTTCCTCTCTCTCCTCTCCCAGTCTCAGGCCAAGCCCAGCCCGGCCCGGGAGGGGAGGGGGGGAGGGAGATTTGTCTTGGAGGAACCTGCCACCGGAGCTTGGGGAGGAGGAAGAGGAGGAGGAAGGAGGGGAAGCCGTAGCCGTCGCCACCACCGCCGCCGCCGCCACCTGCCACCTCTGCCCGCTGCCTCTGCTGGGGATCTCAGCGCGCGCTCTCCGGGAGCTGTACCCCACCCCCTCCTGTAGCCCGCCCCCGGACACCCCGGGTTCAGGTAGGCGAGAGGGACTGGGGGGCTGGGACAGGGTGGGAGGGGGAGTGTTTTAGGGTGAAGGGGTCCCTTCCCTTGCTGCAGTAAGGCAGACCTTCAGGACCCCACCTCAGGGGGAAGCATCGCCTTGATTTGGGGGGATCCGTAAAGGAAGAGCTGGAAGAATGAGTGGACGCCCCTTCACTGCCGACACCGCCGCCCCCAATAGCTCAGGACCCTGACTCTTCGTCCCCTAAAGCTTTAGCTTCCGCTCAGCCTTCTTTCTCTCACGTTGCTGCGGTTCTGTCCCTTCGCTGTGCCCGCTTCCCTTCGCGGTCTCCCTCTACAGCTCCAAGGCTCCCTCCCCTTGGGGGTGTGAATACCCGAAGTTAGCGGCTGTTGAACTCGAATCAGACTGATTTACCCCATCAACGCCCCAAGACCTCTCCCCTAAGACCAGGGGACCCCCAGACCCTTCGAGGAACCCTAGGGAGCAGCCGATTCCCAAACTTTCAGGGTCCTATGGATCCCTGGGCTCAGGGAAGTGGGGCGGTGGTGGTGGGGGGAAGGAGGCGGTACCGGCCTGGAGGGTCTCGCATCTCGTTTCCCGTCTTGTCTCTGGAGAACCCGAACCAATCCGGGCTACCTATCCCCCCCCGCCCCCCGCGTGCACACACACACACACACACACACACACTCACTCACCAAGCCTCCACCCCCCCCCCACCCGTTTAGAGCAGGAAAGATGCTTTGGGATCGAACTACCGGGAAGGCTGTGGGGGAGGGATGGAAAGAAGGGGGTTGGAGGGAAGTGGTGCGCCCCCATCCCCATGCACAATGAGGGGGGCTCCTCCTGCGAGACGCAGAGGCTGGCTGTTTTTGGGGGCTCTGAGTCCCAGTTTAGGGCAACGTTGGCCCCAAAGGCTGCATCGTCGAAGTGTGAAGAACGAGCACTTGGCTATTAATAGGAGCCTGTGACCTGACTGGCTCCTTCAGACCGTTTGGGGAAGCCGGGCCGGGCTCTGGTGGCCACAACCTCCTTCAATGTTCACCTCTTTCTCTCCCCCACCCCCCAAAAAATTCCTCTCGCTCAACCCTACCAATTCTTCCTTCTAACCTTCCCTATTCACCCGCCTGGCATCATCTCCTCTCTCTTCCCTAGTCCCCACTCTCTCACTCTCTTTACCCTTCCCCCCATCTCCTAATCTCTTGCTATTACCCCTTTTCAGCTCACTGCCGTTCTCCCAACCCCCAAACTTTTCCTGGCCCTGAACTGGACTATATAGCTTCGCTACTGGCCCAGGGATTTGCCGCTATGGAAGGGTCTCAATGTCCTCTGGGCCTAGCTCAAACTGACGCTCCTGTCCAGGGTCCCCTACGCAGGTCTTTGGTACACTGGGAGGCGGGGATGTGAAGGATTAGGTGAATGAGGGGTGGCCAGTTGGGAGCTGCCGCCACTTCTCTGCTCCGCTACAGCTGTTTGCCCGACCAGCGGGGACGGAAGTTTCTCGCGGACCAATTACTGCCTCACCCTCCCGCCCCCGATTCCCTCCACCCACCTACTCCCACCTCTTGTTCCGTTGGGCTCCGGCTAGCCAAAGGGTTTGAAGGGGATTAGGGGTGGGCAGATTACAAAAAAACAAAAAACAAAAAACAAAAAACAAAAAACAAAACTGTTGGGGACCTAGGAGACCTGGGAATGGCAGAAGGGAATAAGGAAGTTGTCTGTGAGTGTTGGTGAGGGAGCACAGAGGTTGAGGGTAACTAAGGGGAATAGGAGAAGCTCTTAGGAAGGGGGAATCAGGACAGCTTCTGGGAATTTGGGGAGAAGACCCCAGTTGCCTCTGCAGTAGACCCAAGGCCTCAGGTCTCTCTCGGGAGGATGGTGCTATCATTGCGCCTCAGGGCATTTATTCCAGTTTTCTCGGCTTTTAAAAATAAATCCCCTGGTGTATTGTTGGTGGTTCATTTGTCTGAGCTGTAATCGTCCTTTCCCCCAAGCTTCCTCCTCCCTAGAGAGCTCTGCCCCCTCTCCTTTACACAATAGACTGGTATGGTCCTGTCCCCCTATGTGGGACGACATCTTCTCTATTATCTTCTCTACCTCCACTCTATCTTGTGTGAAATTTCTAGGAGGCTAAAGATGTGTGGGGGTTGCTGGTGCCCCCACCTCCCCCCACCCCAGCATGCCCCCACCATCCTAGTTATCGGAGTTGAGGGGGGACACTGTTGTTTTTTTTTTCTTCCCCTAACTTAAGGGTTTGGAGCAGGAAGGAGGGGGACGGAAGTGGGGGGTGTGTATATAGCTGCTTCAATGTGCCTGACAGATGTGGCTATAGCGCCACCTTCTCTGTAGCAGAATTAATGATCGGCATGGAGGATGCCAATTAGAAGAGCCATTGGGAGGCTGGGGCAAGAGGGAGGGGAAGAAAAGGGGGCAGAAGGAGATGGAACTGAGGAATTGACAACATTTTTAGGAAGTCAGATTGTAATTTTCTGGGTAAGGAGGGACATTTGGGTTGGAACGGACTGTTCAGCCTAAGAGGTTGGTAGAGGTAATAGAAAGGTAGGACCCAATTAGATCTCCTTCCTCATATGTAGCCTAGTTTTGAGTAGCATCTCTCCGCTGTAGTCCGACCCCTCCCCAATAATGATAACTCCAAAGAACTGGTTGGTTTCCTTTGGTAACAGCTAGTATCCCTCCTCCTTCTCCAGGGACTCCATTGGCTAGCTTGCTGAGGTATAGGCCCAGAGAAGCCTGCTTATGTTCCCCTGTGACTCTTGGAACTTCTTTCTACCTTAAGCTAGGGGTCTTTCCCTGGGCAGAGGTAACCTTCAGAAGCTCTGTGCCCTGCTCCTAGGTGGGAGGGTAGGTTGTAGGTAAGGCTCTCCCAAGACTCCCAGAGAGATGGGAGTCTTTTCCTTTCACCTCAGCCCAACAGCCCCAGCCTAAGCCTGGGTGCTCTGATTTGCTCTCCTGAAGGCCCTGTCCATAGAAGAAGGAATATAAATCAAAGACTGAGGTGGGTCTCAGTAATTAAAGAGGGCTTTCCTTGCACCAAAGGATGCAGAATCAATGAAATACTAAAATCTGGGTGTTCTTGAGACCTCACCCTCAGGATAACTTTAGGATCTGGGTAAAGACATACCCTGGGGCCAGCTCCTGACATGAGATGCCCAAGTGCTTCAACGCTTCAAGGTGAGGGAGGAAGGGGGGGGGGGGAAGAAGTAAGCGCTCTAACCCAATGCCAGACAATCAGGAGCCCTATATCACTTTTTATTCTTATTTATTTCTTACTCTCCTTGGGAATGTAGAGGAGATAGCAAAAGGGAGGACCCAACAAGGGTGGAGGGGGTTCAAAGCAGGTGGAGTTGGAGATTCTTTGGCTGAAGGAGAGCCTTGAGGAGAACCAGAAGACTCTAAAAGCCCTTTTGAGCCTTTTGTAGGATGCAGTGGGAGGCCAGGAAGACAAGAAAACTAGGGAAGGCCAGCTATTCACTTATAGAAAATTCAATTCCTTTATCAACACTCACCATCCCCTCAGTCTCCCTTGCCCCATTATGACTAAAGCCACCAGAATTTTGGTCCTCCCCCCCCCCCCCCCCCGCCTTCTGGGAAGCCAATGCTCATGGGGCTGGGTCTCCAGAAGAGAAAAAAAAGGAGGATTTAAAAGCTAGTTCCTCTAGAAATTTCTATTTTTCCCCTTCTCTTTCTTCCAGAGATGGACTGTCTTGGTCGGGTGGGAAACAGAAAGAGAAGTCTTAGAGAATTATTAAGCCCTGGAGCCAAGGGAGAAGACCTATTTCCCACAAGAGAGTTTCCAAAGACTGCCAGTTGGTCTTTCCTTCTTATAACAGTTCTTAGGAGCCTGCTGACAGTGGGTGGGGACCCCCTGGACTCTACCTCTGGGGACCCTTCCCTTTGCTAGCAACTGAGTAATGGCTCAAGGAGGCAGCTTTGAGGGCAAACTGAGTAGTTATTTTTACCTTCTGATGCTAAAAAAAAAAAAATCTGAAGTATTTATCCATAAGGAACATATAGATTCTTACTGGTATCAGGGTAAAAATGGTGGGTTTGTGACATCTTCCCTTTGACATTGCTCCCCAGACTATTAACTTTTGGTGGTTTCATTATAATTTCAAGGATATTCTTTCTTTCTGTTCATTGTGAACTGAGTTCCCCAGAGCAAAATGGGGAGGGGCTGAGGAAATACACTGTGATTTACCCCTTCCTCAATCCTAGGGATTGCCGTTTCCAGATTAACTTTATGAGATGGGGAACCTAGCCCACTACGTCAGACAAAAAATAGCCCCTGGGGGGAACTCGGTCTTGACCCAACTCCTATCTGAACCCAGAATTGGATCATATTAGGTGATCTCATTAAGTATTTAAGACGCTGGAGCAGCCCATGTTTTGGGGATGGACCAGTCAATACAGGAATTAGTTTTCTTGTGGGGGATTCATTCATATTCTCTCTCTCTTCCTCACACACTATAGGATTTATCTTGATTTGCTGCCTTTGAATTGAGTCAACTCTTTTGTGTGCTGCGTGAATTGGCCAGCTGCTTTGTAGAAAGAGGAAGGGAGCGTGCAGTGGTTACAGAGGAAAAGGGGAATCAGTGCTGGGGATGGAAAGAGACAGGAAGGAGGGTGGGGGAGAGGAGCGACACTTACAAAGAAAGCGAGACAGCTTTGACCCAGGACAGGCTGGGGGAGGGGACAGAGCGAGAGGTCTGGCGTTGCCTCCTTAGCTACCATAACTAGGGTTGATAGGATTGTAGGATTGGGAAGACAAATGCCCTACAGTATAGAGTGTAAGCTCTTTGAGGGCAATCATAATTATCTTTTCGTCGCCCCCTACTTCCCCCTTTCCCCTTCCCCCCACTCCCCCCGCACGAACTTCAAGACCTGTTACAGAATTCGAGCTCTCAGCATGTCCGTCGAATAAATCTAGTGATGGTAAAAGGGAAAAGCACAGGGGCTGGGAGCAGGTTCGAGGGGGCCCTTGTGCTGAAAACACCTACTTTCCCACCTTCATTTCCATTCCCAATCCCCACCCTCCTGATCCTGGACAAATAAATGGTCTGTAGTGCAAAAGTCCAAGAGGGAGGGAAAGCCCCGAGGATCCCCTGCCTGGCATATAGTAAGCGCTTAATAAACGCTCTTGTCTTGGAAGAGGGTGTGTGTGTGTGTGTGTGTGTGTGTGTGTGTGTGTGTGTGTGTGTGTGTGTGTGTGTTTGTGTGTGAGAGAGAGAGAGAGAGAGAGAGAGAGAGAGGGAGAGACAGAGAGAGAGAGAGAGAGAGAGACAGAGAGAGAGAGAGAGAGAGAGAGAGAGAGAGAGAATGAATGAATGTCTGGATCAGAGAAGGGGAGAAGTTGACTAATCAATCCATATTTATTGAGGCCCTCCACCCCGGCACAGAGTCCCATTCTTAGCGCCACTAGGTAACAGTAAACAGTTAATTTGCCCCTCCCTTCCAACCCCCCCCGCCCCACCCCCTGCATCTCATTTCTTACCTCCCAAGAGAAGCTACCTTGGGACAAACTAAGAGAATAGCTCAATAAGACAGATTACTTGGTTCCTTACCCTTCCTACTTCCCCCTCCCCCCTCCTCCAATCTAAGTATTCCGGGAGGAACGAGTGGGGGCGGGAGATAGGGGACTAGAGCCCTGAGGAAACCCTTCTTTTAATGCTAATAGATCTTCTAGCCCAACCCTCCCTCCCCACCTTAGTCGCCCCCACAGCTGTGGGACACGGAGATCGCTCAGTGGATATAGACTGGAGAGAGGAAAGACAGATGTACAAGCAGAAAGAGAGGAGAGGAAAGGAGAGAGAATGAGAATTCTCTTTGCCTGAGAAGGGAGGGGAGGGGCCGTGCTCTCAGATCGATGGGAGAAGCAGGGGAGGAATTTCAATACCGAGAGCAAAGTTAGAGACTGAAGGACGGCAGAGAGAGAGGCGGCGGAGCCTTGGCAGTGGCGGCTGGCAGCTAGCTGGCTCCGCAGGTAAGGAGTCAGAGTCCGGCTGTACTGGCATCTTTGAGAGGGGGGAACAGGGACTGAGACGGGGATGGTGGCTGGAGTTGGGGATGGGGAGAAGGAATTCAGGACTGAATCTTGGGAAAGGAAAGCCGATAGCTTAGTCTAAACTCCCTCCACTCCTCTCCCCCGTCCCCTTCTCCTTCAGGTGTTGCACCTGGGCACCAGGTACAATGTACAGTTGCTCCCTGCCCAAGTCTCGGGGTCCGAGGGGAAAGCAAGCTCTACCTCTCTCTCTGGCTCCCCTACCCCTAGCCATACCTAAAAACTAAGTTCGGAGGAACTTTGCAGCCCGGTTTGCCCCTTGGTTTCCGGGCGCCGAGGTGGGAGGGGATGGCCACTCCTCCAGTTAAACAAACAGTCGGGTTTGCTATCCACAGTCACCGACTCGAGTGGGAGCCCTGGGGCTGAGCGGCGGCTCTTTCCTCGCCCGCGTCAAGGGAGAAGGAGCGAGTGAGCGAGCGCAGGACACGTCGTCCTGCTGGGGACGGAGCGACTGTCAGCCGCGGGGGACTGGGGAAGACGCCGGAGCCAGGCCCGGAGCGTCCCGCCTGTCTAGACTTGGAGCCTGCGTATGCCCTCGGGAAGAGGAGGAGGAGGGAGACGGTGGCCGCGCAGCGCGTAAGTTTGTTTGCATGCTGGGGGGCTGCGCTGGAGGGGACCCGCACCCTCCCCACCTCACCTCCACTTCTCCGAGGCGCGTCGGGTGTCCTTTGACCTCGAACTGTCTGCTGGGGTAGGGGTGAGGATGAAGAAAAAAATGGATTCTGCCTGGGGAGCCAAGGGCAAGCCCTCTCTCCCTCTTCTATCAGCCGGGGCAGGCGGTCGTTCTCAGGCCGGGTCTGCTGCTGGGTCAGCCCCAGTGAGCTAAAGCAGTTGCCTTTGATCGTCTAACAAATGCTGTCCAAAGCTTGGATCTTCCTTTAAAGCTAGGGAGTATTAGCTGTTTGTCAGATTTCCTTCCCTTCGCCTTGGTGGGGGGTGGGGGGCAAGAGAAAAAATGCTGGGGATAGCAGGGGCTCGGTGCTCATGGAAACTAGTTTAGGTTCTCTCTTCTGGGGACCAAGAGTTTGGGATGAATGTGTTAGCAACATTCTCGGTTTAACTCGGGCAAGCCCCTTTTCTAGGGCTCTTCATGGAGCAGAAGCCGGATCAGATTTGTGGGGGAGGAAACCACCCTCTGGGAAACCTCTGGGGCTGAGTGGTAGGTACCAAGGAAAATACCTTCTCCTTCCCTCTGCTTCATTCCGGGACAGCCCGGAAAGCCACAAAAGGCCAATTGCTAGCTTGACCTGAGGGCTCGTGCAACCCTATATAAAGAGATCCGACAAAGTTGGTGATTTTGTTTCCTTTAATTCTTTACATTTGACTTATACTTTACAAATAATAACAACCAATTCACGTTTATATTCCTTAAAATCCTACATAACACTCCAGGGAAGTAGATAGTGAAAATATTTACTATCTCCATTTTCCTGATGAAGAAACTAAGCCTCAGAGGGTCTATAAATGTTCACTGAGTTACATAGTAAAATGCAGAAAAGGGGTAAGAACTGGCCTTTTGACTCCTCCTACACAGTAGTTTCTTGTTTGAATCTCATAATATTTTTGAAATGTATCCATGCCCCATTTGACAGATGGACAAACTGAGACTCCAAGAGGCTAAGTGACTTGTCCAGGATCACAGAGTGAGTTAGTGAGAGAAGCTGATAATAGAACCCTGGTATCTTTATTCTCAGTCCAGTATTCTTACATAAGAAGGTATAAATTCACCTAGGAAAGCATGAAAACCTCAGTACTTTTTCAAGCAGGCAAGAAAGGTTATGATAGAGCTATTGCAATAAATAAAACCCTATTAGGTACTCAGTACATCAATCTCTTACCCCTAGACACCCAGACTCAAAATTGGGACCCTTTTCAGTTTAATATCCAATAGTTTGCGATGTAGCTAAATGTAGAATTCAGAATGATACAGCAGCTTGGGAATAAGGTATAAGGAGATTCGTGACTCTGGAAAAGCTCAGCATGGACGTGAAGTAAAAGGTATCTCTATCAACAGAAATAGCCAGTCTCTAGACTCACAGAGCAGGCAGAACTTGGAAAGGCAGGGAGTAAGGAGAGATGAGAATGGAGGCAGTTGGAAGAGGGATGATCTAGATCTCCTTTGGTCTAGGTCTAGGAAACAAAATCTGGGAAGGAAGAAAGACAGGAGGGGCTTACTTCTACAGAAAACCCAGGAATTTTTGTAAGTCTTCCTCAAAACTGGATTCTCTGTACCTGCAAAAGAAAAAGGACAGACTGATATTCTCAGAATCCCTAGAAGAATGCCTCCTCTAGTTAAAATGGTTTCATAGCCTGGAGCCGGTGGACAGACAGCTTTGATTGACTTGGATGCCTTTCCTTTATCACTTAAAATGGAATGTTTGGACCCCAGATGTCCCCAGTGGGTTTGTCTCAATTCTAAATAGCAATTGAAAAAAAATGCTAGGGACAAAAAGGATGAAAGTGATAGAGATGAAAGTTCTGGGTACCTGGTTGCAACATGCAAACTGTCCCCCCCCCACCTCAGCTTCCCCCCCAACCCTTCTGGATGAAGCGGATGAAATAGATACCAGGAATAAATTAATCCAGTTCAACAGCATTTTAAGTTTCTACTAAAGGAGGCAACATGATGTGGAGGAATCAGCATCGACTTTACGGCTTGGGTTCTAAACTGACTCTACTATTCATTAGCTTGGTTAAGTTGCTTCCTCCTCAAGGCCTCAGTTTCCTCATCTCTAAAAATGAGAGTGTTGGACAAGATGATCCTTAAGCTCCTTTCTAGCTCTGAAGCCTATGCAGGACTCAGTGACCCCCACTTCTCCCCACTGGATCCATCCGGTAAAATCTTACTGTGGTTAACGGTGAACAGAAGCAGAAGATGGGTTTCTGTGTGGGTTATTTCAAATGCTATTGGCTTGGAGAAAATTTATTACCATAGGTGCATAGATTTTTGTGTCCGTATTTCTCTGTAGAAAAGGGACAGGCAGATCCTGTAGATACACCAGTAGATGTATATAACTATATATACATATATGTATAAATTGAGAGTGGTTAAATGAAATATGCCAGTGAATGACAAACATGCAGATATATCTCAGGGTCCAGGTGACAGGGTAATAAATTTCACAGCATGAACCAGAAGCAGTCAGTAGTGTTACTAGGGAGCACTGGATAAATTTTATTATGCATCTTTCAACACCCCTCTCCCCAACCATGTTGTTCTTCCCGAGATATTTCATTTTACTTTCTTTCACTAATTCATGAATTCTCTTGCTGGTTTCCATGGATGCTTCTCCCAAATAAAGAAAGACTCACTCATTTGCTACCTGGTCCTTACATTTGAGGTAGTTTGATGTAGTTGCTGATGGTGTGGTACTAACTCCTAGAAAAAGAATCCCAGAATGTTAACAGCTGGAAGAAAGCTGCCCCCTCATTTTACAGGTGAGGAAACTGAGGTTCAAAAAGGGGACATGGGGGCAGCTAGGTGGTGCAGTGGATAGAGCACCAGCCTTGGAGTCAGGAGGACCTGTGTTCAAATCTGGCCTCAGACACTTGACACTTACTAGCTGTGTGACCCTGGGCAAGTCACTTAATCATGATTGCCTTACAAAAAGAAAGCAAAAAAAGGGGGGGGGGCATGATTTACCCAAAACTACATAACAAGCTCTATGACATTGTAGATTTGAACTTTTGCCTAAGATATCAGCCATAGCCCCGCATCCTAGGTTCTGGACTGAATGGAATCAGATCCAGTCTTGGGTACTCCTCCTTCCCACCATGCTTCAAATCACTGTATTCTTGAATTCTGCTTCAGATACTTACTAGCTGTATGACTTTGGGCAAGTCACTTAAACTCTCTGGTTCTGTTTCCTCCTCAGTAACTCTAGAGGATTGATTCTGATGATCATTCTAGCTTTAAAGCTATGTGATCCTCTGATACCCTTCTTCCTCCAAGAAAAGTCCCAGTCACTTAGGAGTGGCTGAGGAAAGAGATTTGGATTGAGTCTCAGGCAACATAGTAGTGCTCTCATTTTTTGTCCCCACCTGAAGTTTGGTCTTGAGAAGCTAAGCATACAGTTTGTTTAAAAACAGTAAATCTCTATGTCTCTGGATAAAAGGATCCCAGATCCTATATAAGCACACAAGGTAACAATTCACATATCAGGTCCAGGACAGCCTTTATTCCACATGTAAAAACATACAAAAGGACTCACAGTGTATAAGTAGTATGTAAGTGATCAATCTTTTCCCCTGTCAAAGGCAGAACTAGACCCCAGATCTTAACCATCCAATGCTCTTTCCATTACACTGTTGGTTTAGATAAGCAAAATGGCTAAGCTTCTGGAATGTCCCTAGGTTGCTAATGTCGGAGTTATGGGTTATGAATAGTGAGGTGCCAGCTGGCTCTGCTGAACAGAGCAGATACCGTAATTAGAGAGCCATGACAGAGGCCTATCTATGTGCTATTTTTGTCCACCTACCCTTATGCATACCTGTGTGGCTCGCCCTGTACATAGCAGTTCTACAGTGGTAAAAAGTGTGGCGTATTATGGTATGACATCAAGAACATAATGTACACATTGCATATTGTCACTGGCTTTCTCCCTGGATATCCTCGTTACTCCCTCTCTCCCTTTCCCCCTCAACAATTTTCCCTAGCCGATTATCCTGCTAGTACTCAAGGAGAAGAACTGTTTCATCCTTAACTAACTTTAGAATTTTTCTTGTCCTGGCATGCAGTCCTCTAGAGTGAAGGGCAGAAGGAAGAGACCTTCATCCTGGGTCTATTAAAAAAGAGTGTCTGCGAGAGCCAATACTTTAAATCCTAGAAGGCTTTTTTTAAAGATCTCTTTTGAGGTGAAAGACATCTTATGTTTATAACACCCTCTTACTACAAAGAAAGAAACGGGCAAGTGACTTGCCCAAAGGTACACAGTGAAGTTAATGATAGAACAAAAACCTTGTTCTCTGAGATTCATTCCAAATCGATTTCCCCAGTGACTCCAAGTGACTAGGACTTTTCTTGGAGGCAGGAGGGCATCACAGGATCATGGCTTTAGAGCTCAAAGGGACCTTAGAAGTCATCAAAATCAATCAGATGAGGAAACAGGCCCAGAGAGTTTAAGTGACTTGCCCAGGGTCACACAGCTAGTAAGTATCTGAGGCAGGATTCAAACCCATGTTCAGCACTATCCACTCACTATACTGTCCTGCTTTAGAGAAGAGAAAGGTCAGAGAGGTCAAGCCACTTAAATTCCACCACTTTTATTTTGGCCCTTTTCTGATTATTTCTTAAGAAGGTCTCCTTTTTCCTTCCACTCTCCCTCCATCTGTCATTTTGGGAGGGAGAACGGTATTGTCAGAGTTAACATCTAACGGCTTTGTTAGTGATGGTAGCTTGGATCTCTAGAAAACCTTTCTTTGTACAAGTTCAGAGCCCTTCTATTCCCTCTATCTCCCACCCATTTCTTATGCCTGGCCCCTTCTCTTCTCCCCCCCCCCCCGCCCCAGAAGGCAGGAAAGAGCAATGTGTAAATTGAAGGCTGTAAAGCAAAATGGTTGGTGCAGGGCTGGAATCT